GTAAATTTTCGACGGTGGATCCCTAGGTGGCCGTCAGACTTGAGAAGATGGGTAACGAACAATTAACATTTCAGAATTGTTGGTACAATTATATAGTCGTCTGGTGTGGGCACTAACTACCAGGTGCAATTTTTCTCACTCCGTGGTTGACAAAATTAGTAGCCGCGATAGCCTAATGGCTAATTTGCAACTGTAATTTACGTCGGTCCGGAGTCAGTCCAGGTTATACGGTGTGGACGCTAATTGTGGTTCTCGTGGGTCCGTATTGATCGGCTGTAGTTTCTTCCAGCTTTATTTGAGGTGTTTGTACACTCCATCTAACTCAATACGTCGGTTGCTGCAAGATTCATCGAAGTGCATGGCCTCAAGAAAATCTCGGCCGTTTTTGGAGGGGCAAACTCCGATTATGCGTGTTTTGATCCATGCAGAAGTGTGTCCTGTGTCAAGGCAATACATAGCCACTTTGGTCAAATGGTCACTTCTCTTCACGGCTAATTGTGCTTGTGGATGCGTGTGGAGACGGATCTTCCTGTTTGGCCACAATATATGGTATCACGTGCTTCGCAATTGATTTTGTAAATGACTTCTTTCGTATTGTAGTAGCTAACCCTATTCTTAGGGTATAAGAGCTGGGTGTGTAAAGTAGCCATCGGTTTGTGCGCCACTTTTATTTGGTGTTTTCGCAAGTGCTTTTCAACGAGTTCACACACATCCCTTATATAAAGAAGGATTCACCATGATTTTAATTATTTTCGCGATCAGAACTATGCCTTTTTGGCCTACTCTTTGAGTCGCTTCCGAATGAAAACAGAATATTTTCGTTGCTTGACAGCTTTTCTCTTCTAACAGCCTAATGTACACCACGGCGATGCCCGGAAGATACCGGAGCAGTATTTAACCAGCGTGCGACCGTCCGGCATGTGAGCAGTCGTGGGTGGTCATCAGCGGTAGTGATATCACTGTACAGAGGATGCAGCTCTGACACCTGAATTCTTAATTTTAAAAGAGGCAGTGACGTTACATTGTCGTTAAATAAGTTACCTTTCCATCGCCGCCGCCTTCTATTTATGCTCCTGAGCCCTAACCTGTCAAAACAAAGGACACGTTCGACTGTCGTGAATTCATGTTGAAGCCCTCTCCGCGCTGTCGCGTGTCTAATTCTGTTTCCTCTGATTCATTCTCGCAGCTACATTGTTCTGGCCGACATTCCGCGTCTGCGCCAGACATGGTTGGATGCCAGCCGACGTCTACGTTCTG